GTGAATTTTGATCCATCTATGGCCTGCTTAAGGTGCCTATTTCACATTCCCTCACACACATTATAAGGCTAACTCATGAGCCAATTAACCTACCAGCAGGGCCAGTGCTAGACTATTTTGCACCCTAGGCAACACCAGCTACTTATGCCCAGGTGCCCCTAGGTGGCAGTGCCTAGTTTGCCTAGTGGAAGCACTGGCCCTGCCTACCAGCATGTCTGGCGTATCCGCAGAACATGCAAACTCCATGCAGAGAGTGCCCTGTTTGGAATTCGAAATGAAGACCCCAGTGCTGCATGGCAGAAGTGAAGTGAGTGGCACCAAGGTGTTGATGCACAGGGTCATCTTATAACCTCAACATTATATGACAATATCTGATGATGAAAACATAAAAGAACATATAAAACTGTAATGTGAGGGGGAGATATTAGATTTTTTTACTGTCTTTATGCAAAACCCAATCAAAACTGCAAAGGGGTGCTGAAAATATGCCACCTGCACTGCTTTTTGAAAGAAACCATCTGTGCGCTGCAGAATGTCCTCCCCTTACCATCAGAACAGTTTCTCATATATTGTCATTGCTTATTTGTTATATGTATGGTATTTGGGAACTTCATTATCTCTGTCTTCTGAGTACAAGAGTAGGAGTCAATTATGTGCTCTGTTGTTGTGACTGGGTCACTGGGAGGACTGGAAATCTGTTTAAAGTCAGCTGTGTGAAGGAGTGCTATAAATCACATTTTTGATTAGTGGTTTACCATGTAACAAGCATCACATCGGAGTAAAGACAGGATATTTGTAACAGTACTATATATACTGTATATATTTATGGGGAAAAGTGCTATATTGTGACTCATCTGGAATTTATCTATGCAGACTTGTTACTAACAACTAAAGTTACTAACTGATCTTAAATATCATGTTAGCACAGCATGACCTTTACCCAGCATTAGGAAAATAGTAGGAGGAAGTTTCAAAGCAACTGAAACTTACACTAATGTGATATGAAGTGTTGGAAGGGTATCATATCCCAAGGGGTTAAAAGTGGAGTGTTCCTTTAAATGCCTATAACCAAGAACATTTTCTAAAGCATTTTAGGTCCTTTAACTGTAAATATCCAGAGATTGCCTCTTAGGTGACATACACAGCTCCACAATTGGCCTCTGAGCATTCGCGGTTAGCTGTGACATTGAACTCTATCTGCTCCTTGCAGATGGCGGGCCCATTCATTTTGGCCTTGAATTCACAGATAGACGACCACAAAACAGCCCTTTGTTAACAAGCTGACAGTCTTATTAGTTTCCTTGAACTAATTTAACTGTGCTAAAAGCAAAAGATAGAAGTCAGTCTAATTTATAGGTGAGGTGCATTTTGCCGGGGCCTCGATATATTATTAACGCGTCTCTTTCTCCCCCTCCACCTCCGGTAGTGGCTGCGATCACCATTTCTAAGGCGCTATCACTGCTGTTTTCAGGGGACGTTGAATTAATGGCCTGGAATACATTATTGGAGAACCCTGTGAAAGATGCACACAATTTGGTCTCTCTTGTTGTCTGCCTCTGAACAGCTAAATGTTTATTTTTACCAACATTTGGCTGTTGTGTTGAAAAATAGTTATTTGTATCCAAAAAGAGCAAATTATGTTAACATGTTAGTAGAGTGACATGTTCTGTGAAAGAAATGTGCTTTACATGGGCTTAATCAATAACAGTGCAAATGAAATCACTGATTCCAAAAGTGCATTAACCTAGAGCAACTGCACAACAATAATCTCCTAAAATGGGACTCCAGCCAAACTACAGAATATTCTTATGTTGAGTTTTGGATGAGGGGGGGAATAGAACCACCTCCTGTTTCTTGCTTCTGTCCTTGTAGAGATTCTCCCTCGATTCCTGTCGTGTCACAAGAACAGTGAAGGGAAGATATCCAGAACAATGACACAAACAGAGGTTCTAAGCTTTCCTCTGTATTTTTAAAATTCCAGCAAAAGTTGTGGTTATAAGACTTGCAGACTTATTTCTATTCTATAGAGTATATTGGACTCCTAGCAAGATGTGTTTGATATCATTAACCATGCATTTCACCTTCATTGCTCTCCTGAGCCAAAGGTCGATATCCTATGAATTTTGGAGTTTTACCTTGACAACCTTCACCCAGAGTTAGGCAAGCCATAGATGGTTTGATTTTCTTTCCTTTCACCAAAGTCTCCAGATTCCCCAATCAGCACAGCCAGTGTTGATGGGGGAGCCCCTCCCTCAGAGCTGGGGAGCCTTCCTGGCTGGCAGGACACAATGATTACTGCTAGCGGCTATAGCTGCCAGCAGTACTCACATGTTAAAAAATTCAACAGGCTGATTATACCCAAGTCAACCAATGGATCAACTTGGATACAACCAGCCTGCCCATAGATGGATCGAATCTTGGCCATCCCTGCTGAACTGGCCAAGATGCGATCCATCTATGGCCGATTTTAGGAATACCGGTAACTAGAATCCTGTACTTGGCCAGCATAACAATAGCACAACATTGGTTATCTCCCCAACCCTTCCACTACACTCCTTTGGATAGGTAAAGTGAATTATACCCTGCACTAAGAAAGCTTTCCTTATAACCTTAGAGGTAGCTCTAAAATATGTAAGATCTGACATGGATGGCTTAAAACGGTAGTAAATGTTTGTTTTTTTATTTGAGTCCCTGCATGTTCTTGCCCTAAAGTGCTAGTATGCACTGGACCTTGAAGTCAAATTCTAGACCTCCCTGCAGTTACAACCTCTCCAGGCAGTGGCCTGGGAAGCAAGGACCTCTAGACTATACCCTGCTAAACACGCACCCTCACCTGGCAAAGCCTGGTAGGCAAGGACCCTTCTAGAAGCTCTCTCTCTGAATATTACCCTCTTCCCCAGCCCACATCACTGGCATACACCTCCTATTAATTGGCCAGTGACGAAAAAATATTTATAACCCAAAACACTGTATCTTCTCACACTGTAGACAACTCCCCAAAATCAGGCAAAAGCAAACAATGTCCTTGGGTTTAGGAGAAACCTATTGATCCCAGATAACATAAAAAAGCTCAAGTTGTCTACACCCTAGCTGCAAACACTAAATTTAGGTTAGGGGCATCCAGCTTGAGGCAGGGCCCCTATAGTGCAGCACTGACTACACAGATGAAGGTTATTTTCTAGCCATACTGTATATAGAATCTTTAATTGTATGTATCACTTATCTTTTAGTGCTCTTCTCATACAATTACATTGTATACTGAAATGCTATACTTTATGGTTATGCTGGAAGCTTTCACAAGATATATCTGTAACAAGTAGATGGAAGGCCACCTTTCAACATTTTCATGTACTGTAAGTCACTTTGTTCTGATTTGTACTTGCTGTTATTTCTTTTTTTCTGTTACACAAAACCATGAAAAAACTGAAGAACCTTGTTCTTCTTCAATAAAATATCTCAATAAAAAAAAAAGTCCTAGCAACATTTAATTCACGACTCAGGGCTCGTTTACACTAGCATCACCTCCTCACAGTTTGTTTTAACCCCTAAAAGCCCACAGCACCACCCAGCTGCAGACTGCTGCAGCGCAGCCTCATTCAATTGAATAAGTTGCTTTCGGCAGTGGGTACTGACTGCTGAACACGACAACAGGGATCATTTTTGCTGCGTTACAATGTACAGCATCACACCTATGAAGTGTATACCACATAGGGCTGCCTTTGCAGCTTAGGGGGAACCGTTGGATGGAGATAAGAACGCAACTCAACCACATATTTTTACCTCCTCTCAACTGCAAGGGTAAACTAAGCCATATTCTGTGAGTGCTACTTTTAAGGTGCTGGGGTGGGGTTGGTACTTTAACAGACATGACTCCATGAATTCAGTTTAGAGGTTACAGCAGTTTACTTATTAGTCTTTGCACTACATTAATAATATTGTTGATGCTATGTTAAACCTCCAGGTACATGTGAAAAATGTTAGCTCCTATACTTGTACTTGTTCCCTCTGCTATCTCCTAATCAGACTATAGTCAAGTTGATCTAAGCTAGGAAATATGAGGTGTGATACAGCCTCCCCAATTCTTCCATAAGCCCTGTTGTCAGCTGCAAAGACAGGTGATAAAAGTACCAAACTTTACCACCCAGGAGATAACCCAATAGTATAGACATATATAGGTAAACCTTTTTTTTCATTTTGGATAGCGTAAGGGAGGGTTATAACCCTTGTAAGTTTATTTTTGCCATCTCTGTCCCATTGGGGAGAATTACTTTCACTTCCTGTCCAACAGCCAAAACAGGAAGCGAGAAAAATCTCTCTGAAGTGAGGGAATCCCTGGATGTCACCAAGGTCACCAAAATGAGTTTTTCCATTGAAAGATATCCCCACTCATCCTGTTCTGGGAACAACACAAAATGTGTTACTTTATTTTACTTTCACTTAAGTGATAATGGCAAATGAGACTAATAGAGAGGGTGAATCTCCCTAACAGGAGCACAGAGAGCAGTAAAATGTAACAGGTGTCCTAATCCTTCTCCACTCTATCCAAAACTAAAAAAAAAAAAAATTCCTTTAGTTATACTTATCCACCTCCTGCCCGCCATATAGTAAGGTGGTTCTCTCATTCTGGGAGGACGTCATATAACGTCCTCCCATTCTCACTGCACATGTGTGGCTCAGGGAGCATGCAGCGCGGCGATTGGCGGTGTGCTGTGTCCCTGGGACACAGTGGATCACCGATCACGGAAAGAGCCGAAGATGTCGGCTCGGTCATGTGATCAGCTGTGTCCAATCACAGCTGATCACATGTAAACAGGGAAATGCTGGTTATCGCCATTTCTCTCCTCTCGAGCTGTCACGCTGACAGCTCGAGAGGAGAGGAGAGCTGGTAATTGGCTTTCCGCAGAGGGGACATGTACACTGATCATCAGGGCACTGATGATCAGTGTGCCCTGATGATCAGTGTAGCCCCAGCAGTGCCACCTGTCAGTGTCACCTATCAGTGCTGCCAATCAGTGTCACACCTATCAGTGCCAGCCAGCGCCGCCTATCAGTGCGCAGTCAGTGCTACCTATCAGTGCGCGTCAGTGCTGCCTATCAGTGCCTCTCAGTGCCACCTAACAGTGCCAGTCAGTGCCTCCTATTAGTGCCAGTCAGTGCCGCCTATCAGTGCCATGTATCAGTGCTGCCTTTCAGCGCCCATCAGTGATGCCTGTCAATGCCCATCAGTGCCACCTACCAGTGCCTCCTCATCAGTGCCACCTATCAGTGTCCATCAGTGCAGCCTATCAGTGCCCATCAGTGCTGCCTCATTAGCGCACATCATTTAAGGAGAAAAATCACTTATTTACAAAATTTTATAACAAAAACTAAGAAAAAACTTTTTTTTTTTACATTTTCAGTGGTTTTTGGTTTGTTTAAGAAAAAATAAAAACCCAAAGGTGATTAAATACCACCAAATAAATCTCTATTTGTCACAAAAATATTGTCATATGGGTACAGTGTTGTTTGACCGCGCAATTGTCATTCAAAGTGTGACAGCGCTGAAAGCTGGAAATTGGCCTGGGCAGAAAGGGGGTATAAGTTCCCTGTAGGCTAGTGGTTAAAGAAGGGGTCTCCAAACTTTTTAAACAAAGGGAAAATTGCCTGTCCTTCAGGCTTTGGTGGGGGGGGGGGGGGGCAGACTGGGGGGCCAATGTGAGTAGAAAATGTCCTGGCGTCAGTGGGAGTAAACACTGTCCCATCATTGGTTTTAACAGGAGGAATAGTGTCCCATTGTTGGTTTTAGCAGGGGAAATAGTGCCCCATGGTTGGTATCAATAGAAGGAATAGTGTCCCATCGACAGTGTCAGTGGGATGAATAGTGCCACATTAATGGTGTAAGTGAAAGGAATAGTGCCTCATCATTGGTGTCAGTTGCAGGAATAGTTTCCCAAGAGCCAGACAGAGGCAAGCTAAGGGCTGCATCTGGCCACCGGGCTGCAGTTTGGAGACCACTGCTTTAAAGTGCTTGTAAATGCCAAACCTCCTATTCTCGGGTTCCCTGTTGAAGCTTCTGGCTCCCCCACTCCACAGAGTGCCCTCCATAGGAATCTGCTCCCTATGGGGACACTGATGTGGGCTCTCTCAATCCCCACTGCCTGCATCTATAGACACTAGAATAGAATTGTTGGAGTGTACCACAGGATAGCCTAAATTTGAATGGATAGCGGACTCTTCCTTTAGACATGTACAAAGGCATCATTTATAGGAGCTAAAGAGAATACCTGTGTGGAAGCAGCAGTTATAAATAAAATACTATGTCCTCCTGCTGAACCCGAATACAAACAAGAAGCCCTAAGAGGAACCAACAAACCTACAGCATTCGGCAAACACACATTGGTCTTGGATTAACCTGTATCCAGCCACTGTGTATAAATGATTGATGGAAAGGGAGTGATAACAGAACAATGGTGTCAAGGGCCGTTTATACAGACAATGTGACATCTTGTGGCCCGTACTGGTTATACAAACACAGTACAGCTAACCATTCCTGTGTGGCTCTAAATATTTCATGAAATAGCATGCATTTCCATCCAAGCATGCACAGCAGGCTAAAGAGACTAAAGTTTCTCTACTAAACCAATTACAGGTGAAATATACTCATCCTTTAGCAGCATCTCCTGCTTCATTAGGAGAGAGACCAGCAAAGGCTTTGTACCGCATTTGCATTGGTGTGGAGGCAGGTAGAGCCCTGTACATGCAGGAGCTCTCCGTGGTCCTGAAGTGGACAGAGATGATGATGATGATATTGTGGTTCTAAATTCATTCTCTGCACAAACAAGCATCCGTGATGTATCCCAGATGAACCAGAGGTAAACAAAGCCGTAAGAAATGTTTTCTGTTTTTCACATCCATAGCATAGGAAAAGATTCCCCAGCAATCATTATTGAAGTAGATGTGGGTGACATTTAGTTTGCTAAAGCACTGTGTAACTGCCATGTTTTTTTTCCATTTTTGAAAATAATGTTTTCACCTCCTTTCATCCTTCATTACATCTCAGCTCTGTTGATCTGCAGGCTCTTTGCAACCACTTATTATCTACATGCACTCCAGCGATGGCTGCATTGCATTTCTCAGGGTGAGTTTCCTGTTATTGAAAACAGTGAACTATACCTGTATCATGTGAACCATGCCTGTATCACGTGTGTTGAAACAGCCATTTGTAATTTTCATATGAAGCCCGTATGACTGGGTGACAACATAGGAACACAGTTAGGAGGCAGGGACACAGCATTGTCACCCTATAACACAAAGTACCTGAACAAGAGTCTTTATGGCAGGATCACCACTTCATTTCCACAACTTGTCCTTTTATAAATGCCTTCTAAAGCTGGCCATAGATTGGTCATAGGTTTTTTTTTTTGCTTAGATATCGGTCTGAATGGAAAAAACAAATGGTTTCCTCAATCCACAACCAGTGGGGTGGATGAAGGAATCCATCATGCTGAGACATTGGGAGTTATTTACTAAAACTGCAGAGTGCAAGCTCTGCATAGAACCAATTAGCTTCCAGGTTTTTATTGCCAAAGCTTAAAGTAACAAGCTGAAGTTAGAAGCTGATTAGTTACTACGCACAGCTGCACCAGATTCTGTGTGCACTAGTTTTAGTAACTCTCCCCCAATGTATTCTGTCAGAATACACTGCTTGGCAGCTGCAGCCACTAGTCAACAAACGTTTTCCAACATTCTTATTTGACAGAAATTGAGCTATGGTTTGACTTCTGTCAAACAGGGATGGTCACACGTGGTTGAAATTTTGGCCAGTTCCCACTGAACCTGCTGAATTTCAATCCATCTATGACCATCTTAAGAGTTACTAGAATGCCAAGATAAGGTGTTATGATACATCCTATTCGTCTTTTTACAAGGGTCTTGTGACACAAATGGAATAACATGCTTAATTTTCAAGACCACCCAACAGTCCTCTACTACTCTGTGTCTTGAAATATTGTAAAAGATGACAGGTCCGAGGTCAGTGGAAAAAAAAAGCTGTAGATCAAATTAAACTCCAGCCGAAATTGATGTAATTGAGGTCAGAGTGTTGAAGGGTTAGAGTCTCCTCTGACCTTTTATGGATAGCTAAAAGGAAGTTGGTAAAGCTTTAGCCATGGACTCTGAAATGTCAGGTCCTAGTTAAAAAAAAAAAGTGAAATTTAATCAGAGAGAAGCACATAATAGGCTGTCCTGGTGAATAAAGGTCATAGCAGGCATCTTGTAGAGTATCTTCTTAGGCAGGACTTTTACTTTCAAAAGCACAGGTTCACATAAAATAATATATACCCACTCAAGTTTACTGATTTGGCAAACAATAATGTAAAAAACTAGATAGTAAATAAAAACATAACGCCATAAGGTTCTATAGAAAATTAACAATCAACTGAAATTGCACAGCCCAACAACAGCAAATGTCATAGGCTGCTCAGTCAGTATATTTAGAAGTACTGGAGTTTCGGGGATCTGCATCTCCTTTTTCATGGCTAGCAATAAACATATCTAACTGTTGATATAATATGTTCATTGCTAGCCCTGAAGAAGGAACCACAGATCCCTGAAATGTGTTGGTTTTCTGTTTATCTTTGCTGTTGATATAATATGTTTACAAGCCCTGTAGAAGGAACTACAAATCCCTGTAATGTGTTGGTTTCCTGTATATCTTCAATACATGTATTAAGTAATTTTTGAAGATCAGTGCCTACTTTGAGCCTGTATTGGTTCGCAATCATTCCCCTCTCTTAACTAGTAGCCGACCGCAGATAGCCGAATGACAGGTGCACTGCGGCCGGCCAGTTCTGAGTGGACATCATATGACGTCCTCCCAGAACGCACTCTCCTACGGACACAGCTGATCACGTGATGTGGTAAAAGGCCAATCACAGCGGCCTTTTACCACGTGATCAGCGGTGTCCAATGACACGCTGATCAGAGGGAAATGCAAGTGCCGGTTCTCGGCTGCACTTTCCTCACACTGTCAGATCGTGAGGAAAGTACTGCCGAGAACCAGCAGTTGTCAGAGCGGGGATCGGCACCGATCATCAGGGCACTGATGATCAGTGCCCTGATGATTGGTGCCCAGCAGTGCCACCCGCAAGTTCCGCCCACCTGTGCCCAGCAGTGCGCCCACTAGCTCCGCCCACCTGTGCCCAGCAGTGCACCCACCTGTGCCCAGCATTGCACCCACCTGTGCCACTCTGCAGTGTCACACACCTGTGCCCAGAAGTGCCACCTACCTGTGCCCAGCAGTGCCACCCACCTGTGCCCACCCACCTGTGCCCACCTGTGCCACCCACCTGTGCCCACCCACCAGTGCTGCCCACCAGTGCCACCCACCAGTGCAGCCCACCAGTGCTGCCAGTCAGTGCCACCAGTCAGTGCCCAGCGGTTGTGCCAGTCAGTGCCGCCAGTCAGTGCCCAGCAGTGATGCCAGTCAGTGCCGTCTATCAGTACCCATCATCAGTGTCACCTATCAGTGCCGCCTATCAGTGCTGCATATTAGTGCCGCCTATCCGTGACACCTCATTAGTGCTCTCTATCAGTGCCGCCTATCCGTGCCACCTCATTAGTACTGCCTATCAGTGCCCTTTAGTGCTGCCTATCAGTGCCCATCATTGCCGCCTATCAGTGCCCATCAGTGCTGCCTCATCAACGCACATCAGTGAAGGAGAAAAATTACCTGTTTGAAAAATTTTATAATAGAAACAAAGAAACTTTTTTTTTTCAAATTTTTTGCACTTTTTTTATTTATAGCGCAAAAAGTAAAGCGCCCAGTGGCGATTAAATACCACCAAAAGAAAGCTCTATTTGTGAGAAAAAAATGATCAAAATTTCCGATGGGTACAATGTTGCATGACCGCGCAATTGTCAATCAAAGTGCGGCAGCGCTGAAAGCTGAAAATTGGCCTGGTAAATAAGGGGGTATAAGTGCCTGGTAGGCAAGTGGTTAATAGAGTGGAGTGCATGTGACTTTCTACTATATTTGTATGTTACAGTTTGGACAGCTTGACTGGATCAGATATTAGGAAATGCGTTTTGTGTAACATGGATGCTCTAGGTGCCAAATTTCATAAATAACCCGCCTCTCACCCCAGGCTTCTCTGCTGTCTACTGTGCTTCCCATAGCTGCTGTCAATCATCCTGATACTAGGACTGGGCCCTGAAGACACATGTCTGGTAGTGTCCGTAGTCAGAGAGCTCTGAATGAGAACATTATGGCAGAGAACCATTTGATACAAATGATAATGTTTAAGATTTTTATAAACCTTCTTTATCACAGATTACTACATGCAGATTATTATTCAGAACAGAGTTCTCCTTTAAGGGTTTTTCTTTTTTTTTTCTGAATTCTGAGTGATTTAATGTCTAACTCAGTCATTAACATACACACAGTGTCAGTGACATTTCATCCCCGTTTGGGGATAAAGTGACCATATTATATTGGTTTAATCAAAATGCAAATGAATGTCTTTACAGAAGTCTAAAACGGATCTAAAGCCTGCCGCAGGAGGGCTGGGGACAGAGCGAGGCGAAGCAAATGGAGGGGTCGCCAGGCACAAACATGGTTAACCTAACAAAGATCTATTTTTTAATTCTCACTGTTTTTATTCGGCACACAGTTAATTATAAATTGATTTAATTATAGTGTAAAGAATTTTAAAAAAATCATAGCAGTCTTGCATATCACTAATCAGGCATATGAGAGTTTAAATCAAGTGGTTACTAGCGACAGGGAAGGTGTAAAAATAGCACACTCGGACTCATTTTCTCCAGAAGTGAGAGCTCTGCAGCTGTGAGTGTGTAGGTGTCTGGTTATCAATGCAAATCTAAACCCTGGGACTAAAATCCGCTCCATACCAATGGTATGCCAATGTTCTTTTAGGAAGGCTGCGCATTGTGTCTAATTTCCATGCCGTCTTTGCCTCTGTACTCTAAAACTCTGACATTGCATATTGCAATGGACAATAATAATATCATCACAATAAATAAGAGTCCAGATATACATAACGATGGTCATCCTCTCTAGGGGATAACATGCTCACTGATGATGTGCTACCTAGTGTTTGCAGCAAGAAACATTTGACCCAAATGTCACAGACATGGTACTATGAAATGTTCAAAATAGGAGGCAGATGTCAGGCTCTGCTAGAAGGGGATGAACATAATCACAGCTGTTCTGTTTTTGGAAATAGAACTACATGTCTCATCATCCTTCAGTGCTGTCAGACTACCAGGGGTGTGACTGCTGCAGGCTAGGCAACAAACCTGAGTGATTATGAATACATTTACCGTATTACATTCTATACTTGTTACATTGTTATATCGTAACGGAGTTACATAGCATGTTCTCATCTGACTCTACCACAGCTTGCAGTGCAGAGCCTGTCAATCAGGATAACAAACCACTCACACATCTATTTCCTTCATCAGTGATTCAACTGCCTAGCACAAGATGAGGAGAGATATCCTGGGAAGTTAAAGCAGAAACATTTTTCACATAAGCAACAATCACCCTTGCGTCTGTTTCTCTCACTGATGACTCAACTGTCTAGCACAGGCCATGTTTCTTGGGAGCTAATATATGCACGAATTTCACATAAGAAACAAGTACATTTTGTAAACAGTCGTACACATAACGGAATTTGAACTTAGAAGCACATAAAGTATCTATAAGCATTAAAGTATAACTAAAGGCACCTTTTTTTTTAGTTTTGGATAAAGTGGAGAAGGATTTTTATCCAGGTTTTTATTGCTGTCTATGTTCCGATTAGGAAGATTCACCTGTTCTATTTTTTATTTTTACTGTTATCACTGAGAGTGAAAGTAAAATAAAATTCCAAATTTTGGGTTATAGAGATAACAGTTATAGAGAATATCTTCCTTGGGGAAACTAGTTCTGGTGACAACCAGGGATTCTCTCACTTCTAGAGGGATTTCCTCTCACTTCCCGTTATACCCGTGGAACAAAAAGTGAAGGAAAATCTCCCCAATGGGACACAGATAAAAAAAAAAACACTGGCAGAGGTTATAACCCTCCTTTATACAAAATGAAACAATAAGGTTTGATGGAGCTGGCAAGAGTTAAATTATTATTCATGTTTTGCCTTTATCTGTGACCGCATTGGGGAGATTCTCCCACAATTCCAGTCCCTGTGTAGAGGGTTTTCACTTGAACAGGGAGATGCAGACAGCAATACAAACATTGATAGAAGCAGAAACCCTTTCTTACTCTACTAAACAAGTGATTTTGTTTGTGTGTTTGCTGGAGAGATTCCTCATCATTTTATATCCATACAGGAAGTAAGGCCAAACACCATAATAGGGAGGTAGGTGCAAAAAACCCAGCATGGGTTCCAGCCTTTCCCCACGCTATCCAAAATTAAGAAAATAGTTTTGGTTGGAGTTTGCCTTTTAGGCTTAACTCCGGAATAAGCAAATCTTTATGCAGGAAGTATGTGTATTTTTACTTGGTGTGATTTCTGTATTTTCTCCAGATGAGACCAGTCACCGCTGCTCTCTCTCCTTGTTCAGGGTGACTGGTCTTGTCTTTGTCCACTCCTGTAGTTTTCTGAAGGCAGCCTGTAGTGGGTAAAGCCTGCTGGGCCTCTCCCACAGCTCTTCTGTTTGCTCAGGCTATGTACAGCACAGTGATGATGTCACTGTTACCTTTACAAGTAAATATCTAGGTTCATAAAGATATTTGCTGCAAAGTAGATTTATATTCTCTGTGGCTGTTAAAGGAATATATTTAAAAGAAAGTTTTTTCATCCAGAATCAGGTTCGGCGTCAAGTGGGAATTGATTGGTTACAGGAAGTATTTTAAACCACTGCTGCTCCTTTCTGTCAGTGCATGGCCAGTGGTAGCCTACATGGTGGCCGATGAAAGCAGAGAAGCCCCAGCCTGCAGTGGGTTAAGCTTTGGAAAGCTTCGTGTAAGGCAGCCATGCAGATCAAGCTGTCGCCTGTGAGCAGGGAGACAGAATCAAGACAGATGTGTTCATACTGGAGGAAAATTGATTGTTTTTCGATTGATATTCATCTATTATTTTGGAATGCAGTATGAGGGAAAGTTCTGTGGGTCACAGATGCTAAGAAGGCTTCTTCTTGGCGGCGGTCGGGGAAAGGGTGTCAGCTTTGATTTATGAAGTGCAGCTTTGGGCTTGTTAGCACAATGTGTGGCGGTCTCCTGGTAGTGTGCCCACATGGTGCCGAGGAATTGTGTGACTGCACTGCCATCCTCTAGGCATCTACGGTTTTCACCTATGGAGCATAAGCAGATCCGAACAGCAATACATCACACAGGCAGAAGGGACATCAAAGAGGTGACACTTTGCTGCTCCCCATCTGCACTACAAAATTATTCCCAACTGTCATTCACAACATTACTTTGAAATCCTCTTTTTTCATAGGATAAAAGGTAAAATAAGCACAGCTATGAGTGGGCGACATGAAAAGAAAAGTGCTGAACCATAATTAATTGCTTTTGCAAACTAGCCGGCACTTGGGCCCATGCTTCAACTCCCTGTCCACTACATTTACACTGATCACTCCTTCACACTCAGCTCTGTATGCAATGGGAAAGAAGGGGCAGAGGTCAGCAAATTGGAGAGAAATTCTTCTCAAACTGACTACTAGTTGAGACCATGCACATTTTTGCATTGAGGTAACCTGTGGTAAAATGTGTGTTTTACTGTGTGGTACCGCAATGCACAGTGCTGTTTATGACACTGTAATATAATATTGCAATAGAAAGCAATGTATCCACACTGCAGTATACCATAATGCACATGCTGTGAGTTGTGGCGAGTTGCAGTAGAAAAAAAGTTCATGCCCATTGTACAGGATGCCAGGAATGGGGGGGTCCTGGACAGAGACACATTTCCCCACTCTTTGGGTTGTGGTCCATTTAAAGTGAGGGTGAGGGGTTCCAAGGCAGTCAAAGAGGAGAAGACTGATTTCAGGACTCTCTGGATTGGTAAGGCTTCATTTGGGATCCGGAATTCCAAGGCTTGGAGAGACTTTGGGTGGGAAAGAGCTTCCAAACCTTTATTACAGGGACTTTGATATGAAAAGCGTTAAACCACCTGTAGGGGAGGCTTGTAATGGAGCAGTTCATAACTGTGACATAATGTGGACTGTTTGGAGACTGAGACTCTGCCGAGCTCCTGTGCCCTGAGCAGACAGCACCTTAACC